TACGAAGTTCGGGGCTATTAGAATTAATTCACACTGATATATGTGGTCCCTTCTCTATTACATCAGTATGGATTTAGTTACTTCATTACCTTCACTGATGATTACTTCCATTATGGATACATCTTTCCAATACGTGAACGATCTGAAGCACTTGATAAGTTCAAGATATTTAAGGCTGAAGTTGAAAATCAGCATAATTTAAAAATCAAAGTGGTAAGATCAAATCGTGGAGGGGAGTATTATGGGAGAGCTGCTCCATACGAACAAATCCCCGGTCCGTTTGCTCATTTTCTTCGGGAAAATGGCATAGTTGCCCAATATTCAACTCCTGGTGAACCTCAGCAAAATGGAGTAGCTGAGAGGCGTAATCACACCCTAATGGATATGGTTTGAAGTATGCTAAGTAACTCTACGCTGCCAGTGAGTTTGTGGATAGAGGCATTAAAGATAGCAGCGCACATATTTAATCGGGTTCCTAGTAAATCAGTCCCTAAAACACCTTATGAGCTATAGACGGTAGAAAACCCAATATGAATTACTTGTGTGTGTGGGGTTGTCTAGTCGAAGCTAAATTATTTAATCCACATATTGGGAAGCTAGACCCAAAGACAGTAAGCTGCCATTGCATAGGGTATCCCGAAAGGCCTAAGGGGTATCATTTTTATTATCCGGATCGTACCATGAAATTTGCAGAGACTAGACATGCAGTCTTCTTAGAACATGATGGCTTAAGTGGGAGTTATGAGCCTCCAAGCATTGATCTTAGGGAAATACGGGATAATGTACCATTTCCGACATTCCATGAGAACTTTGTTTCTGTGCCTGGAACAATTACACCCCTAGCTGAGAACTTAGCTCCACATCCAGCTGAGGACTCTAGTGCTGCACCTGCAGCATAAAGTTCTGAAATTGAGCACCCACTTGAAAATGTAGGGACAGACAGCTCAACACCTAATGGTGAGGCGACTAATGATGAAATTGAGCCTATGCAAACTGAGCAGACCCCTGTGACAACTGAAGAACCTATAAGAAGGTCGCAACGGCAAAGAAAATCTACCATTCCAAAAGACTATGTCATGTACATGTATGAAGATGTTAATGACATTGGACTGACGGATGATCTCACAACATGTAAAGAAGCCATGATGAGCCTAAACTCATCTAAATGGTTGGAGGCCATGGAGGATGAGCTAAGATCTATGAGCTCTAATAAAGTCCGGGACTTAGTAGAAATTCCCGATGGGGTCAAGCCAGTAGGCAGCAAATGGGTCTACAAAACTAAATATGACTCCAAAGGGAAGGTGGAAAAGTTCAAGGCAAGGCTTGTAGCAAAAGGCTTTACACAGATATAAGAGATTGATTATAATGACACTTTCTCTCCCGTGTCATCGAAAGATTCACTAAGAATTGTCATGGCGCTTATTGCTCATTATGATTTAGAGCTGCATTAGATGGACATTAAGACTGCATTCCTTAATGGTGACTTGCATGAAGATGTATACATAGCTCAATCGAAAGGTTTTGTTATGGAAGGCAAGGAACACATGTGTTGTAGACTAAATAAATCTATCTATGGACTTAAACAAGCGTCTAGACAGTGGTACATTAAGTTTGATAATGTGATTCAGAATTTTGGCTTTGCTGAAAATAAAAGGAATAATTGCATATATATTAAGGTCAAGGGGAGCAAGTTTATTATCCTAGTACTTTATGTGGATGATATTCTATTAGCAAGCAGTGATAAGAACACGCTACAAGAAACTAAGGGGTTCCTCTCATCTAACTTTGATACGAAGGATCTCGGTGAAGCCTCTTACGTTCTGGGCATTGAGATGCACCGAGATAGGTCCAAAGGTGTGTTAGGTTTATCTCAAACTGTGTACATTAAGAAAGTACTTGAGAGATATAACATGAGGAAATGTTCACCTACGGCTGCACCTGTTGTGAAGGGCGATAAGTTTGGTGACTATCAATGTCCCAAAACTAAGATTCGATCTGATCAGATGAAGTTTTTTCCTTATGCTTATACTGTCGGAAGCCTTATGTATGCACAAGTATGCACATGCCCTGACTTAGCCTATATTACTGGGATGCTTGGCAGATTTCAGTCAAATCCAGGAATGGACCACTAGAAGGCTGTTAAGAAAGTTTTACGTTATTTGCATGGGACTAAGCATTACATGCTCACGTATAAGAAGTCTGACAACCTTGAAGTTATTGGCTATGCAGACGCTGATCACGCTAGTTGTGTTGACGGTAGAAGGTCGACATCAGGATACGTCTTCACACTAGCGGCAGGAGCCATTTCGTGGAAAAGCTGTAAGCAGTCCATAGCAATAGGATCAACCATGCATGCATAATTTTTGGCATGTTATGAAGCTGTTGGACAAACCGTATGGTTAAAGAATTTTATTCCCGAACTTAAAGTGGTTGACAGCATTTCGAAACCAATTACGATACACTGCGATAATAAGGTTGCAGTGTTTCTTTCGAGTAACAACAAGTCAAGTGGTGCTGCCAAACACATTGACATTAAGTATTTTGTTGTGAAAGATAGAACCCAAGATCAAACTATCGATATGGTGCACATTAGTACGACAATGATGTTAGCGGATCCCCTAACAGAAGGCTTACCACCCAAAATTTTTAATCAACATGTTGACGGCATGGGTTTAATGGATAGCCTCTAATGATCCTGGATGAGGGTCATAACACAACCAACTCCTATTATGTTTAAGTTTCATCCTATCGAGGTAGTTTGGTGTACGGCCAATACTTGTGTTGCAGTGGTGTTTATCCTGACTGTTGTATCACATTATTTCGGTACATTATTCTACTGAGTGTGGACTTATGTTGATTAGCAATTCGATCAAAGAGGAGAATGTTGGAATTAAGTGATCTCTGGCTCGAGCCGTTACAAAGGGGTACGGGGTCAAAGACCGTTTCCCTTGGCCGAGTTAGTTGGTGGACCGTTTCCCCTGACTGAGTTAGTTGGTGGAAACACCACACGCGCGACAATCGGTAGCGCCCAAACCAACCAATGGTCGCGGCCCCGAGTCGAGCAGCGCCGTATTAAAAGGGGTGGCACGGCTTCTCCTTTGGCCAACGCACAACTAAGAAACAGATCATCCCGACATTTTCTTTCTCCCGATCTAAGAGGGCGCTGGATCGACCCGAAGCCCGCCGCCCTTCTTCCCCGACTCCGGCACCGGCCAAAGTGATTGGCCAGTGCCGCTGGCATCCCAAAGGTCGACGCTATACCACCAAACAGCACCGTCCTCGTCCTCACATTCCTACTCCACCGATGGCGGAACCCCAAGGTCTGTGTTTCATGATCATGATGTGATCTTCTGATTAGGCTAGATCATCATTTGTGTTGATCTCGATCTAATACTATTTGCTCTCGCTCCAACTGCGTTACTGAAAAAGTCTACCGCCACCTTCATCTTGTCTTCTTGGAAGACTGCTATCCCAGTATCCTTGAGCAGCGCATTTATATATGTTTTCTTCGTCCTGGCGCTAGCATAAATATGGAAAAGTCCAGTGTTGGAGTCTCCTTTTCGAATCCATGTGAGTCTGGAATGTTGCCTGGCTTTTGCCTTTTGTATTGCCGGCAGCCCTAGTGATTTTGCTTTTAGGAATTTAATTCTTGAATTGCATCTCATCTTCCAAGAGATTACGCCTTTCTTGTGCTTTTTTCCAACTCAAGTAGAATAATTTCCACTAGAGCTGACTGGAGCCTCCATTCACTGAATTGCGCCCTTCTCCAAATCTTCAGTGCCAGTACAACCCGCCACAATTTAACGTACATCCGTAACATTGCGTTTTGGGTATTCAGGTTGTTCCCAAGCTCCCTTTACCGCTTCAATAAAACCTGGTATATTGACCCAATAAGCTTCAAACCGGAAGCCTCGGTAGAAGTCGAATGCGGTGCCTCCTTGCAAGAAAAGCGGACAGTGGTCCGACCCCAACGATGCTAGTGCCTGCAAGTCAGTTCTTGGGAAGATTTCGAGCCATTCCGCAGATGCTAGCTAGGAAGTGGTCAATCTTTGTCATTGTCGGATTTAGCTGGTCATTACATAATCGCCCGTGTAGTTCCAAAGGCGCCAATTGCAAGTTGTCAACGGTGGTTTTGAATCTGTTTGCATTCTCCGCTCTAGAAACCACTCCATTCCTACGCTTCCAAAGTTGCCAGCAGCAGAGCGCACTGAGGGTGCTGAAATGCTTAGCTAGGATGGCTGCTGGCCGTGGAATTAAGCTGAGGTCGTCATTTAGCAGTGAACTGGAGTCCGATGGCCGCTGCTTTGTCCGCAGTCCCGGCCGGACACGGCACGAACTCTCCAGACGCCGGAGAAGCCAAACCGGCGAGGGATGCGAGGACTCGAGCAGGCACCGGGCATCAGCCAGAGCTAGCCGCCCGACCGTGACGGCGACATGTTAATTAAGGTCGCGCTCGCGCGCACCATGCCCGAAGAACATCCTTGGGCCGTATCGATCCCGAGGGTTGGAGCAGACCTCACTCACTCTCATAGCCTTAATTTAAGTGCCCACTAGTAGAGGATAAAGATGCTTCGATCATATCGTGATGAAGTAGTAGGACTGTAGTTGTACGGAGAAAGTAACGAGATGTGTAGTGCGATGTGGATGTCCATACACTACTTTGGAGCTTAGCTGAGACATAACTTGGCTCTTCCTACATCAAGTATGAGTACTGTGTAGGAGTAAGCACTAGTAGTGTGTTCTTGCTCTGGGCGGCGTTGCTTTGCCCCATCTGGGACCCCGCAGCTCGCCTATAAAACGCGCCGTGGATCCCGGTTATAGCTTCGTCGCACACCTCTCGTGGGCGAGTGAGATCGAGTAGGCGAGCATGTATATACGCGACCTAGGCCCCGTTTGTTTAAGCTTATCAGCCAGAATCAGTCCTACATTTTAGCCATATGAACAATATTTTTTTCTCACAACAAATCAGCCATAGCAGCTCGTGGACGACGGTGATGGCAATGGCGATGCCAAAGGCAAGCTCCATTGTGCTGGCTGTGGTGCTAGTCCTTGCGATGGCGGTGTCCCTGGGTCGCGGGGACTACAGGATCCGCGACTTTCTACACCCCAAGCTACACACGTACGTCCCAATTAATTAAGCTGCTTCAACGATCAGTCAGTTTAATCTTGTAACCTACTCGATCGTATCGCTTGCGTGCGTGCATGCAGCTTCGGCTTGCTACGGGAACCAGGACAAGGGCACGATGATCGCGGCGGCGAGTGAAGCCTTCTGGAACGGCGGCAAGGCCTGCGGCGACAAGTACGTGGTCACGTGCACGGGCGCCACCAACGCCGGCGTGCCGCAGCCGTGCACCGGCCAGAGCGTCACTGTCCAGATCGTGGACCTCTGCCCCGCCGGCAGCTGCCGGGCCACCATCGACCTCTCGCAGGAGGCCTTCGCCATCATCGCCGACCGGAACGCCGGCAAGATCAAGGTCGAGTATAGCCGGTACGTCGCGTTATATTATATTGCTTGCGTCTATAACTAGCTGAAATAGTGTACTCCTACAAATGCAACCTCACGTCACAACTCATCACAACAGACTATTTGACATATATACACATGGATAATGCCTCTTGACGATTAACTGACATTTATTTGATCATTCACATGTATATAGGATCTGAATTTCGCAAGGTGGCGACTACGAAGCAGGAGTATTTCGTCGAAGAGTAAATCGACTGGGCGAAAACAACAAGAGCTTGAACCTTGAAGCGAATGTGTGTGCTACCCAGCTACGGATCACTAGCTGCATGTTGTCCTTGTGTGGGGAAACTGACATGAAAAGGTGTTGCCCCTGTTTGGTTTGCGTCTTAATAACGAAGCATATTGTTAACCAAAAAAAAAGAAGCATATGGAAACCAAGCCAAAAAAATTATTGCCTGCAATATAAATCACCTGACATCGCTTTAGCTAGGTCCATCAAAGACAATATTATAACATTTATAAAAAAAAAATATCAGTCACTTGTGTGAAACCAAATGATCCCTAGTTGGTTGGTTTGGACCTTGGTCTGCTGCAGGCGGAAGTGGGCTTACCGGTCCCAGCAGCTAGACGGCCTGCTTAGTACCGTAACACCATAATATAACCTATTAGCCCACCAGACTTGGGCATGGACCAGATGGTCTTTGCTGCCCTCGTCCTGTCGCTGCCGCGCTGCACGCTGCTCCTGCGGTGCGCAGCATGCCCACCTGGCCTCCTCGCCTCTCACCGCAGGGACAGAAGCGCGATGAGACTCGCCTCGCCGGTGCCGAAGAACCGACAAAGGTGAGCAGAGGAAGGGTGAAGAGAGCATATTCAAAATTTATTCCGAAATAGTCATGGTCCTACAATCACCCTCCGAGACACTAAATCACTCGACAGTCACGCCCTCAAGCCAACGAGTGGCTGCATGTTCTCGATGAAGACCAAAGAATACGGTGGGACACCACAACACCGGAAAACCAACACGCAACATAGAAACCCGAAACGGAGCTCTCAACTCCAATCACAATGAAGCAAAAGTCCGACTCAAAACTGTCAAAGCCAGCGGGTGACTAGAGAGTTGAGAAACCTTCTTAGTCACACCTTGAGCCCATGGAACAAACGGGACACAAACGGAGCAAAGAAACTCACAAAACGTGAAACGAGCCAATGTACAATGACTTAGTCAGCTTACCCTACTCCCCAAATCGTCTTAGCCTACTCCAGTCAGCTTAGCCTACTGCTCAGAATCAGCACGCAGCCCGCAAAAGAAAAATGTTGAAACCCAACCAAATGACCTCCAAATGCTATGAAATTTTGTGGAGAGGTTCACAACATTATAAAGATTGCCTCCACCAAAAATCATCTCAAACGAAGGAAGTCGACAAAGTCGGCTACGCTGACTTTGCAAGTCGGCTTAGCTGGTTCTTGCGGTTTCCAGCACGAACCTACTCCTCCAAAAGCCAAATCTTTATCAAACGGAATCAAATTGATCTCAAACTTTGCTCAAGTGTTTCTAGGGATGTTGGTAGGATATCCTCAGAACACCAACCCCTGAAATAACTCCAAACTCCGCAGATCTAAAAATCCAGTGAAGGAAATGAGGTTTTCTCAAATTTCCTCTTAAGAGTGTAGATTCATGCTCGTGGTGTTTCTGCTCAAACCACTTGGGAGATAGCTTCACTAGAAGTCCTTGCATGGATCTGAGCACTCAAAATAATCCCCAAATCCCTGGAACTCAAAAACCCACAAAAGGAGGAGAGAGAGGGGGAGAAAGGGAAGGGAAAACCAAATTCGAATTATCTCAAAACAAAGATCAAGATCTCAGAGAACATGATTGCTTTATTTCCGAGATCTACTAGGTCTGGTACTTTATACACAAAAGATTATCACGGACAAATGTTATTACTCACTTCATATGCAGATCTCAACAAAGGAAACTAAAAACAACTTATTAAGCCTTGTTTGGATGTAGTCAGATTCATATCAATCCACATGTGTTGAGGTGGATTGAAGTGGAACTCGAACTAATTTCCACATCAATCCACCCAACACATGTAGAATGAGGTGAATCCAACAACATCCAAATAAGGCCTTAAACTACTACCAGTGTCTTAAGCTAGGAATGGAAGCGGGAGAGAAAGGCTGGTTAGGAGCAGTCATCCTCTTATTTGTAGAGCCATTACATAGCCCCTAACATGCTCTTAGATATTTTAGATGAACTACTTAATCCCATGGCCAAAATGGTCCAACTTGAGATCAAAGCATCCGATGGCTGGCGGAGCCAGGAATTTGAGGCTGGGTATGCCAAATATACAAAATTTCGATGCAAAAATGCAATATAATGCCCGATAAATTATAATGGCCATGGCATTTAACAAATCCGTAATAATAACCAAAATACAAGTTCGAAACACAAATAATTAAAAATATTACAAAACGGCTACTACAATATAACTCTACGATCCCAAAGAGATTGATGGTAGCATGATCTTTCATTTGACTGAAGAATTCTCTCAATAAACTAGTACCCATGGCTCTATACAATTGTTCAAATATTCATCACCCATTTTTGTCTTTCCGGGTTTCTCTCATAATGCAAATATGCTGCCAGTACCCTTCTTCATGTAGATTACAATTTGCAAAGAACTGAATTTTAAAAAAACTACTGAACAAAGTAGCATGCATCACAGCAGTAGCAAGAACAAATAAATTAGAGGAGAAAATAAAATCTTCACCTAGCTGCCTGCTGCAATTGTGACGACGATGCGCTGCTGCCTGCTGGTGACAGGCGGCCCGTGGCCGCACAGATCAAGATGTCAAATGTGCGGCCGGCCGCCGGCAACCAGCTGCCCGCAGCAGCAGATTGAGATACCTCGCCGCCGCCGTTGCTGAATCGTGAGTTTCGCGACTTGTGAATGGATGCCGACGGGAGGAATTCTGGACACTTGGGCCTAGGCAAGGTTGGCCTACTCGCTACATCTGTGATTCTGTGGGCCTTTGGTCCAATTAAAAAAATAGAATATATACATGTATATACTATATGTATTTATTTTTGGTACCAAAATCTTGGGTATTCCAAGGAATACCCAGGCATACCCCTAACGCCGCCAGTGCGATGGCCACAAGCTCTTTCACGACTTTGCTTTGTCTCGACACAAGGTTCGCGATAACGCCACGTGTGTCCTCCCGTTCCCGCCGAAACTCCAACTAGGTTTTCAGGCTCAAACCCAAAAACCATCCGCCGGTGGTTTTGAGGCCCAAACCATTGAATCAAAAGCATATCCACTATGCCTCCTCCGCAATCTCGACATGTGTTACCATCGTCCTCGACCACCCAATCACCAAGTCTTCTAGCGCCTTCGCTTGATTTGGTCAACCGTCGTCTTGACTTGGTCAACATAGTCTACTTCTCGTGTACTCTTGCTTGTTGATGTTCGCAAGGATCAACATTTGACTGGGATTCTTTTTGTTTTCAAGACACTTTTATGAACATTTGGTAATCTCGTTATTATTCATAAAAATTAATTTATCGCAAATATGTACACAAAGCGGCCCATGTTGGGCTGTTAAAATTGAATGCAACAAGCTAGAATAGAACGATAATAACGGCAAAAAGAATGAAAATAATCTATTCATTTTCTTTCTTCATCCTGTGCTCTTTCTGTTTCGCCCTACTCTACGCCAAGCGCTACCATCGCCTGTGATTTCCAGTGCCTGGCCTTCTCAAATCCATTGGCGTAGCGCTCGAAGTCGTTGACGGTCATGTCGATCTCCTCCTCGGTGTTCATGACGAACGGGCCTAGCTGCGCGACGGGCTCCCCGATGGGCTCGCCGCCGATGAGCAGGAAGCGGAGCGGCCTGTCGTCCGACTTGTTCCACACCTCGAGGCCGTCGCCCTGGGCGAGCAGCAGCAGGTGGTGGGCGCCGACGGGCGCGCCCCGCTCGGCCCCGAACACGCCCTCGCCCTCCAGCACGTAGGCGAAGGCGTTCCACGACGCGAGCACGGGCTGCCGCACCACACCGCGCGGGCGCACCGTGAAGTCCAGGATACATGGTCGGCGTCCGCGTGCACACCGGCGACCGCACGCCCATCGCGTGGCCGGCGATCACGCGCACCGTGACGCCGTCGGCGGACGTGCACGCGATGTCCTTGCTCTGGATCTCCTGGTACCCGGGCTCGACCCTGCACGCACGCAGGCACGGACGTCGTTTTCCCATCAAGCTCATTCCAACTTGCAATGAGTTGACAACACGATCACGACGGAATTGACACTTGGCTCTGCGCCGTGTCGAGCGTCGAGACAAAGAGGAAAGGCTGACGTACATTTTGTTGCCGGAGGAGAGGTTGACCCAGAGCTGCAGGCCCTTGGACGTGCCGGGGCCGGCGGGCATCTCGGAGTGCACGATGCCGCGGCCGGCCGTCATCCACTGCACGTCGCCGGCCTTGATGGTGCCACGGTGGCCCTCGAAGTCCTCGTGCGTCACGGCGCCCTGAAACAGCGTTCCATGCCCGCCCACCCACCCAAGGGGAGGAAATCAGAACTCAGAACTGGACTGTGACCCTGATTCTTTTTACACAAGCTCATTACTTTGTTATCAGAAGTCAGAACTACCGGTACCAACTGATTATGACCCTTTCAAAAGTTTTTTCAAAGACCAAACACACACAAATTGTTTACGGGGACGATGCTACTATTGGTAATGGCTTTCTGGTGCCGTGTCCATCCCTTAAGCGCGGAAAAGCATCGCAACGCGGGTGGTGGTTGACGGGCGCATTGAGGGGGGAACCGGGGCCCGTCGGGACGGATTCTTCGAGTGCAGGGGAAGAAACTTTCAGGGCAACCCAACCGCTGAAATATCATGCATTCATTTGGCGCTGTTGACAAACGACACCGCGCGGTTCGTTTCCTAACGCCCGCTTGGTTGCCAACGACGCTGCCGTCTTTACGGCTCAATGGGTCAAGCAAGAAGGAATGCCTTTTGCGTTGAAATGGTGGAGTGGAAGTTGAGCATACCTCAAGCATGTAGGTGACGGTCTCGAAGCCTCGGTGTGGGTGGTCGGGGAACCCGGCCGGAGCAGAAACTGCGCGGAATTCAGGCAAGGAACCGGTTAGTTCAGCCGAAATGGGGGCATACAAAGATGAAGATCGATCGTTCAGAAAGAGAAATAAAGGGGCCGAATGGATGGGAGCTCACCGGAGAACTCGTCGAGGACAAGGAACGGATCGAAGTACCTCAGCTCGAACCTGCGCGGACCGAATTCCATCCCCAATCAGCAAACCAAGCCAAGAAATGCCGGCTCCTCTCCATGGCATGCAGGTTAATCCTAAAGGCTTATGCCACCTGAAGAAGATGAATGAGACCTACCTGCCGATGCTGCGGCGGACGACGGCGCCGACGCCCTCGTGCTGCGGCCGGGCCAGGAACTTGCGCACCACCTGCCGGGGCTTCTCCATTGCCGCCGCACAGGCACAGCAATCTCCCGCCGCTCCAACCTCCTCTGCTCTGCTTCTCCAACCGCCAGCAGCCGGCCGACCCGTGTTCTTGTGCGAAAGTACGACGACGATGGCTTTGCCGTTGCCTTTGCGGTCCGTTATATAGGAGCACTCGTAGGAGGAGTAGCTGCAGGGCTAGCAGGGGAGGCGCGCGCGAATCCGCCTTGATTCCGTTACGCCCCCTAGGTCAAAAGCGACAGCTGTTCTCGCCCTCCTGGCCTCCTCCCTCGTTTTCCTGGACGCTCTCCTGTCCGTGCGCGAGAATTTTATATAAAATATAAAACATGATGCCGTGAGGCCGGCGTGGGCGCATCTCCCCAAGTCCTCGTCCTCTTGGACGTCCCGCTCCGCTGGTCACGCTGACGCCAGGCGCACGTAATGCCCCCGTCGCGACGCTCCGCTCCGGTTGCATACGCGCGCCTTGTGACAGCGTCGCATCAGCAAGCGCCAAGCGGGCGTGGTGATCGGTCAAGACTAACTCCTCGCTGTTAAAGCGCCACGTTGATGGCCCTTGTGGACTTTGGAGGATTATTACTGGAAGGTACTCCGGCTGTAGTAGGAAAAATTTTAGCTTATAGCCACCCGCTGCGCCAGGGCAGGCAGGGGGCGCGATCATTGCCTGGGGATTTTTTTTCTTCCAAGCAACGCTTCCATGACCAGATCACCAGAGCGAGCGGCTGCCTCATCGATCTCATGGTTCCGAAGAATCTCTGATTCTGACTGACAGAGAGGGGTTTCACACGGCCTGACAGAACCGACCGGGCTGGTGATGCTAGCCTGACGTACAAGTGAGATCACACTCGCCGGCAGCGGCAGCTAGCTTCCCAAGTCGATGATCGCTAGCTTCGTGGGGGTTTCCTGGATGGGTGGATTCGCCAATTGGCATGTGACCGGCGGGCAGCAGCCCAGGCGCCCGGTGCCATCCTTTTCACATGGAACAGCTGCTAATCGCCGGGTAATCCAGGGAAAAGTGCAGATTAGCCGCAGGTGAAGTATCTCACTCGAGTTGTTTGTCTTTTTAGTAAAGTCTGTGAACTTAAAGTGGGGAGCAGAAATGGAATAACCCGCTTGGATCCCTTCCCTCCTTTCAGGCCACCCAACGAACGGCCCCGCCCATAGATTGATTAGTGTTGTCTGTGGACTGTGGGTCCTTCCGAAAGCTTCTAATCAACTTATTCTACGCGCAGTTGGCCACAAAAGGTAAGATATTTTGGGGGATTTTGGTGATCGAAATGCGTAAAATACCACCACATGGTCAGTGCACACAATCCCATTTCTTTACGTAGCAAGTCGTTTTGACTGACTGAGTTTTTTTTTCTTGGTTGATCTGGAGTTTCAGACGCTATATATAGCCGAGAAGAATTGAAGACGATGACATTGACAGGCATGCCTGGAGGTGAACGCTATATATAGGGCGTGTTTAGTTCCGAAAAATTTTGGCTTTTGGTTATTGTAGCACTTTCGTTTGTATTTGGCAAAAATTGTTTAATTATGGACTATTTAGGTTTAAAAGGTGAACCGTGAACGCTATATATAGCCGAGAAGAATTGAAGACGATGACATTGACAGGCATGCCTGGAGGTGATGCTGCCGTCAGGATCGGACGACCGTGACAAACAAATTTTAACAAGCAGTTGGCAAACTGCAGCAGGAAGCTTTCTTTCATGGAGCGCGAAGATGAGACGGAATACGTGTATACGTGTTCTTATCAGCTAAAGCTCTCGCGTGCTCCTAACCAAGTTGGCGTCTATCGTCAGCCTGACGTCTGTGTGAGTCACGACGACGTTGTCATGATGGGCACGAGACACGTATGTATCAGGAGTTTTGGACACAACATGGGTTGAGACGTCCGTGTCTCGCATTCGCATTTTCGCGTGTCCAGGCCATCATTATAGGGACCCCTTAGCTTACTCCAACAGAGGAAAAAAAACCTACTACTTACTACTTTTATGTTACTGCTTATAGGGGTAAACGATGTACTAATTAAGACTACTAGTCACTTTATTAGGAGTGCTGCCTTGAACTCACAGTTAGCTTACCAGAAACATACTACTACGTTCTTGAGTTTTAAGCTTTTTTTTCCTGCTCTCAGGCGAACCTAACTCTTGATCACAATTTGAAGTACTAGTTCATTATATTAACCCATACTCTAGCAAGAGTAATAATCTTATGAGACACAATCACACAAGCATTAGATTAGATATTCATGAATCTATACTTTAGTTTTGAACTTTTGATCTTATTAGTTGTTGCAGTTATTTATTTTACGAGTTAAGTTGAAACTCATGTGCTTATTATATCCTTTTTATCCATGATCTATTCATTGAAAAAAAGATTCTAGGTCATAGGCTATATGTTTAGTAACTGCGTCAGTATAAATAGTCGTCTCAGCCTGCATTGCAGCACTCAAGATACTGTATTTACTATACCAAAGAACTATATGTAAAACTTTATTATTTTGTGAAAACATAAACTACTTAAAGTTATTAAATTACCACTATTGATATGATATAATGTTTTAGTAAAAATATGTGACTTATTTTAAATAACAACTTTAAAAGATATTGTCATGGATTACTAACATAATTTAAAGTGAATTGTTAGTGGCATTGTTGTGTGGCTTGTTAAAGGAACATTTTCTAGGTTTGATGAATAATTAACTAAAATAAATATTTATCCTAATTTATGCATGTTTATTTAGTCTATATGCTAGCACATAGCATTGTGCTTATTTTTAATTTTATAACAATGATAAAAGTGTGTAATTTAGATGCATATACATAGCATACTTTATGACTATAGAACAATTTTTCATAATAGTTTATATGAGTATTTATACATAGACTCAAGGGATGTTGTAGTTTATTTTTATAACAACATAGTAGATGGTTGATTTAGATACAAATTCAAGGTGACACTTTATATTATATTTCATAATGATAGAGTTTAGAAATTTAGATTCATACTCATATACAAATTTAGGGCTTATTGTAAATTATCTTTCATAATAACATATGTCGATAATTTAGATAAAAATTCAGGGGGTTATTTCAAAATTATCTTTTACAATGACATAGATGGGTAATTTAGATGTAAATTTAAGGAAGTTAATTTATGTTCTTTCACAATGAAATAGGTTAGAAGTTTTTTTTTTGTTATTGTGAGAATTATATAGATTTTTTTTTCATATTATGTCTCGTGTACTTTGGGGTCTAGAATTAATAATACTCCAGTAAGATAAGATTAACATTGGCCTTGCTTATTTTAAAAGAATTTAGTCACAGTCCATACGGGTAAGTTAACTGATAGCTCGTCTTCATCACAAGAAGCTTATATTTTGCTCGCACGTGATTGTATCACCATTAGTTGTGGCTTTGGAGCAGACACGCACCATGTCCAGACACCTCACCTCACTACCTCAGGGTTAACCGTTGAAGCGGTTAGCCCATACATACGCCTGCTCATGTTTCCTCAGCAAAGCTGCTCGAGTGCCGGCATCGTGGGGTCTTGGCACTGTTAGGCTTACCCATCCGTGGCACTCGAACAGGCGCACACGAGAGCACGCGTCCTAATCGTCGTGCCGTCCGTTCTCGGTTACACTTGAAATCCGTGTTGGCCGTCACATGAGCCTCGGTCACTCGCGGGCCGTTGGGTGGTTTGACAGAGCTCCAGACAGGACCGAAAATTCTTGCGCTGGCTGGGCCCTCAGTGCAAACGGGTGCACCTACGGGCCTTGGGCTCTAGATTTCGATGGTTGACAGACGAAAGTAAAACCCCCAGAGGCCCAGAGACATTCACTGTACTCGCATCTGCCGGCCCACATCAGGAAATAAGAAATTTTGGTTTTATTTACCTGTTGGTTGTTCGATGTTCAGCGACATTTACACAGAAATTTCTTTGCGCATGCATACTAATTTGTAGGTGTTGGGGGCACCTAACGCGGTGAACGAGGAAGGACGACCTTGATCCTAAATTGGCGTATAACCTTTGCGACCGTTGAGAATTATCATTTAGTACTTAGGAATTATTTAAGGGGTGTCTTTTCATCCCTCTCTCTTTTACACTTTAACTATCTACATAGACCATGTATATATATACACACGCTGTTCATTGGGAATACGAGGCAGAATCATTTGCATCAATCGATCTATATTTTCTAACAGGTTAACAGCGCGTGCTCCCCACTGTAGCTAAGAAGCCAGAAGTTCACCGGGGACTGGCCGGAGAGTTGGCAGAATCATTTGCATCACTCGATCTCTATTTTCTAACAGGTTATCAGCGCGTGCTCCCCACTGTCGCTAAGAAGCCAGAAGTTCACCGGGGGACTGGCCGGAGAGTTGGCAGAATCATTTGCATCACTCGATCTCTATTTTCTAACAGGTTATCAGCGCGTGCTCCCCACTGTCGCTAAGAAGCCAGAAGTTCACCGGGGGACTCGCCGGAGAGTTGGCCAGCGTCGCTGTCTCCCCTTCACGCATGTTGCTTCCCTCGTTGAAGAAGAGAAGGCCGTGGAAACGGAAGAGGCAGAGGGCGACTCCAGTGGAGAAGATGAAGAACGGTGGCTCTGGATCCGTCCTTCGGAATCGGTGGCTGTAGGAGTCCAGGATCGAACAAGAATCGTAAACACAAATATTAATTTCTTCTATTCGTTGTTTACTTATCTTTTATTCTCGGCGAGGCGCGTGCCCGATGTGCCTGGCGGCCATGCGCTCTGGCGGCGTCGCTCAGAGTAGAGGCGACGGCGCCCCTTCAGTCGATGTAGGCAGTTGGCGGCCTCGCGCCGCGGCTGGCCCCTGCGCCCGCGGCCAGGCGGCCTCCGCGCCCCGGTCCCGCGCGGCCTTGCGCCCGCGGCCAGGCAGCCTCCTGCGCCCGGCTCCCGGCGGACGCCAGCCCGGCGACTGGCTGGACCCCGCGGACAGAGGCCCCCACACGTGCGGCTCCTGAGCCCGTGGCCGTCGGTCCGAGCAGCCTCGCGCTACGGTCGGCGACCCCGCACCAGCGGCCTCGCGTGGCGGTAGGAGGCATCCCGGCGGCGAACGGCAGCCCGCTGCGCCCTGGTGGCGCTCGGGAAGGCTGGCGCATGTGTGGCAGCCACCCGCCGGCGGTGACTGACCGGCGGTGACAACCGTAAGCACCGCACCCGGAGACCAAGAGACGCGGCTGACAGGCAAACCGTCCGTGCCTCCGTAGGCTTCCCGTGAGAAGGGATAAGGTTGTGCTTTGTGCACATAAACCTTTCCATTTTCTGTGAATTACATAATAGTCTAATAGATTATTATAATGTGTTTTAGATTTATGTTTTAGCCCTCAGATTTTAACATAATTCATCACTGCAATATATACCGCATTTATACGAGATATAAATGCTATGTTTAGATCTGGGATCTAAATAAATTATGATGCAAAGTCTTTACCTAGTGTAAAATATATGATTTTTGGGACCTACAAGTCTTTAGAAATTGCATCATGATATACTATATTGCGTATGAATTTACTATTGTAATTTTTAGATATATTTTTTTATCTATAATCTCCTGTTTTAGTCACATACTTTAACACTTGTGGTATGGTAGAGTTTTACTCCTATACGATTTGTTAGACCAGAAAATGATTCATGTATAAATATCCATAGTTCGTCGGATTTGTTGCTTAGCAATTAATTATAATTGCTACAAAATCGGATCCTCTTAATTAAGGTCGGATGATTTTAGGCTCATATGAGCCTAATCTGAAAAGGCAAAATGGCAGCCAAACCATTTTTGCTAGTAAGGCTAACATAGGAAGTGGATTTTTGCTTTGATCCTATGGGATTTTGTATAATTATGCCACTAGCCAACTATAGCACTATGTGCTTAGTAAGTTTCTTGTTTTAACAGTATCAGTATCAGTACAGTACTTTGTTGACCTTGTTAATTTGCTATTTTTTTCATAAATTGCATTTTAACATAGGTGAATTCTCTTAATTAAGTATTACTTAATTAATAATAGATTATGCAAAAAAAATTCAATGCATATCTTGGATACATATTGGGATCATAACACAAGTGATGGAGTCTTAGACATTGGTTGTGCTTAATTCATCTTAAATTATTCGACCCAGAGACCATGCCTATGGCAGTGAATATTCACCCATCATTGAGAGGTCTACATCATGTTTATTTAAACTTGATGATTACCTACATTGTGTTGTCTCAAATAAGTATTTTGGAAATATAAGAATGGTTTAGTTTTATAGCAGCAAATTATTTGTCTACTGCTGAGAGATCTACTCTATGTTTCGGACATAGAGATTATCTACAATGTGTGTGCCAACATTAAATGATTGTTTGTGAGGTCTACACATCTTGTGATTACCTCCAATTGTTGTGAGGTTTACAGTTTTATTGATAGCCTCCAACTATCAAAATAAAGTGACCAGATGTGGAACCCCCTAAATTTTGTATTGGATACAACATCACCATAGTGATTTTTAATTTATCTTTGGTGTAAATTAATTAAATCAATGGTCTATCACACGTTGTGGATACTGACTTTAGAGGAGTCTGATGAACTCGCTTTTGATGGCATCAATATCCCACATGGACAGTGGATATTGACATTGGTTTTATCCCATAGACTAATGGAAGCATTTAATGAACCTCAATTAGGGGTTGCTTTCATTATAGATCAAAGAAAATGGTGCCTTATTGTTGTTAAGGCACTACATCCATGAAGGTTTTCGATAAGAATATCTTGTGGAAGGAAATGCACATTCTTCGTGGCTCACTCTTTAGGAGTTTTATGACAATAAATAAACTCATATAGCTTGAGGCTAATCATGAGTGGATCATGTCTCTAGTTTTTCAAACTATTGAAGAAGACTATGATCATATTGTTCATACAATTTGCTTCCACTAGTAAAAGCAAAAGGCCTAATGTGCAATATGAGTGATGGCAATGTGAACCCAAGAATGACAAAGAGTAATGTCATATATATGGTTGTGTTTAGCATAGCGCTAAACAATGCCGTACTCTTAAATTTGTAGTGATCTATAACAACATTCTATAAGGGATGAAACATGAGCTATAGAAATAAGATATGAAGGGTGCTTCAATCTCAAAATCTAAAGCTATATAGGAGGTTGGTTGTTTATGCTGGATCTTTTGGGATCACATAACAATATTTCTCATTTTCTCGTAAAGAGAACATCACATAGATGGACAACATGATCATCGAATATGCTTCGAATGATTTGTTTTGATATTTGAGATAATATCATGGTCCATTGATAATATGTGATAATGCCCATCAAAGATGTTGTAATACTTATGTTGTCAACGCATAACTATTGTGGTATCATATCGATGTATTTGATACTAGACAATATTTATGGATTTCTATATATTAGACAAGAATTTCATTAAATTCTAGTCATATATAGATAGATTGTACGGGAATCATTCCAATGTGGGAATGGTATGTGCATAGTGGACATTTATACCACAAACTCTATAATTAGGGAAGCAAAATATTCCTAGTTCTTATGACAAGAAGAGGGAATATTTTGGCCATCGCTGATGCGATGCAATGATAGTTTGGCCTATTTTGCCACCATCATTCTTCCTATGGATACTGAGTTAGTAATTGAGGATATTTAATTATGTCCTAATTCAACTCATATCTTACTAAATTATAGAGATATCCAAATGTATTTTCGTATGAAAACACAAAAAGACAACATTGGATATGGCATATATGTAATGAGATAAGTCTCGTTTTGGTTGTATTATGAATACACCTATCCTCGTACAACATGTTGCGTATAAGATAATTTTTAACACTATTGATGCATTCCAGATTTGGAATGATCAACTTGGCCATCCAAAGGGATGGGTGAAAATTATTAGCAATTCTTTTGGTCATGTGTGACAGAATATCATCGGCAGTCCTCTAAGGGGTATCCCATGAAGGTAGATTGATCACAGAGGTGCATGTAATCAAGAACAAGAAGGCAACAGAGACACAAGAGTTAGACAGGTTCGGGCCGTCAGCACGATGTAATACCCTACTCCTGTGGTCTATTAGTTTGTATTGGCTATTGTATGATAATGCGTGTGATTAGATCTACCATCTAGGAGACCCCTGCCCCTCCATATATACTCTGGAGGGGTAGGGTTATAAGAAAAATATCATATTTGGTATTACAATATCTTATTGTAGCCTTGCGGTGCATGCCTTGATCTTATGGGCTGGGCCACCTTTGGGGTGCGGCCCATGTCTTGTCTTTTAGGTACCAGGGTCATATCCTCCATAGCTAGTCCTCGAGCGCCTTGTATCCGCTTGGCGACGCCGTCTTGATCAAGTCCGAGCAGTTTAACACGAAGCCAACCTGTTAAATTGGTGACTAGGCGGTGAAAATCGAAGTCGACCAGTTAAACTGGTGACATGGGCGGTGAAAGTCGAAGCCGACCAGTTAAACCGGTGACCTAAGCGTTGAAAGTCATAGCCGACCAGTGTAACCGGTTACTTGAGCGGTGAAAGTCGTAGCCGACCAGTGTAACCGGTGACTTGAGCGGTGAAAGTAAGAGCCGACCAGTTTAACAGGTTAATCGATCTCGAATTTAGCCAAATAAGGCTTGCCATAAGGATGTAAGGGGTTCAAGATAAAAATTTGAAAATTCTCCACCTTAGGCGAAGTGTAGCCACTTAGACTTTGTTTGTGAGGAATCATCCATGATTTAGTCAATAAGGAGGGTAAATCAAGAAAAGAGCACTACATTCACCGCTAGGTGAAGTATAGCCACTTAGTCTCCGAGCCTGCTAGAAGATGAAGAATGAATCTTGTAGCAGAGTCAAAGAAAATAAGCTTGAAAGCATGCCAATGTCATCTGTCATGTGCGTATCGAGACCCCAAACATGCTGCCCAAGATCAGCACCCTGATCCAAACAACATGGAGTAACTTAATAGCACACCGATGAGACGTAGCAAAACTCAACCACCAAAGGAATCCCCAGCTTAGCTGGCGACTCTTGCACGAAGAATTCGAACACCGAGGGGTCCCTAGCTTAGCTGGCGACACTTGCATGAAGAATCCGAACACCGAGGAGTCCCCAGCTTAGCCGATGAGTCCCCAGCATGGCTAACGATGAAGCGATGAACAATCCAAATGTTGTAAAGTCCCCAGCTTAGCTGGTGAGCCCCTAGCATAGCTGACGATGAAGCCCATGCGATGAGCAGTCCAACCAACTGGTCAGCAGCGAAGTGAACGCCGAGCAGGAGTGAGTGCCGAGCAGTCTGACCAGTTGGTTGGCGGTGAAGTCCATCCAATAGGTGGTCCGACCACCCAGATAATGATCATCTTGTCCAGTCTTTGAGCGTAAGCTCGTTGATCGAAATGTGCCCCTACGAAACAAATGTGTAGAAAGGGTAGTATATGATGTAAAAATAAAATATATGAACTCCAGAGAAGAATCAGCAATGGTGATGAAATAGCGTATGCAGCTCGGCGATCGGTTGGTGTGAACACTTAGTGTTATTCTAAAGATGTATTTATATTTAATATAAACCATCCGACCAGTTAGTGTATAGCTGAGTCTCCAGCCCTAGCTAGCCTGTTAACCATAACATGGAGCGCAGAGCTCCTGTGCGTGTAGGAAGAGCAGGGCATCACTAAGGAGGCGCTGTTGACCACCCCAAACGCAGAGGGCAGGCGCTCGTGCATGTGTAGGGAGAAGCCAGAGACAGGGTCGTCTCTAGAAACATCCAAGCGTCAACATGACTATTTGGGGATTTGCTTTAGGTGTAGTATGTATGTCATCTTTAAGATGGTATACATGGAAATTAAATGGAGTATCTTAAAGATACTAAACATGGAGAATGACCGGAGAAATAATAGTTGGAGAAGCACCGAGGAGAAAATTGTATTAAATACATATACAGGAAGAGTACTTATCTTTAGTCAGAACGGCTGGTCGGCGGCATATGACGTTATCTGGTTGGCGAATTTGTCCCTTAGGGCATCCTGATGGATGGTGGTTGTATCCCCTAGAGTTTGCCGATCGGCTTCCGATAGATCAGAATCGGAAGGTGGTCGGCGCCGAA